AATATATGTTACGAATACGATGAGACCATGAGTAACCCATGCGGAGGAAATGAAAATTGTGTCTTTGACTTTTATCAACTATATCGAAAACCTAATGACATAACAAAAGAGGAGGGGGGCATTTAAATGTCACTTTATAAGAAATAAGTGGCAAAAATTATCAATGGAAGTGATGGTAGAAGGTTGCAAGCATGTAAAAAAGTGTTAAGATGAGGGGAAAAAAAAAAAAAAAAGTTGCCTATCAGGAAGAAATAAAATTGTCTACTTTTGCCAACTATATCGAGGATCTAATGACATAACAAAAGATGAGGGAAAATTGTAATTGGACAATTTAAATATCACTTTATAAGAAATAAGTAATGAAAATTAACCAGGGAAGCGATCGTAGAAGGTTGCAAGCATGCAAAGGAGAGTTAAGATGAGAAAAACAAGAAAAAAAACAAAGCGTTAAAGAGAGAGAGGAAAAATAGAAAGACTAAGATGTTTGAGCATATGAACCATGATTTGAATATTTTATTTTATCTTTGCGCATTAAACCACTGGTACCTTTGCCGCTTGGGAAAATAGCGGGCCTCGGGTGGGCCTCCGACCTTTTCGGATGGTCGAAACGAAACGACCGTCGCCAATCGGATTTATCAATGAAGTGGTTGTTTTTCCAAACTCCTAAAAATTTGTCAGGGAAGACACTCTCGTAACCGAGAGGAAAAGAAAAGTGGAAAGAAATATCACAATTCATCTACTTCTAGCTCACCCACATGATACAATTGATTGATATGGAATAAGTTCAAAAGTCAAATATATAACTTTGAGAACCACACATTGAAACAATAACCTACTAACCTAATTGACCTCAACATGCAAATTGAATCTCAAACCAAAAATATAGAGGGGCAAAGACTGAAAACAAAATCCAAATTCAAACTTGTCTAAAGAAACCCCCAAAAGACTTTGCAAAAGGCGTGCAAAAGTTTACTTTACTTAGTTGGTCACAATGTTATAACATTGTTTTGTTGGTTTTCATTGAGCTAAGTCCTCGATAATCTATGAAATTTCATATGTACGTTGCATAACATACACGTACTAGGTTTTTCCGTACGAAACGTACAAGTAATGTCTGTGCGGGAACTTGTATGAGAACATGTACGTCTTTTACGCCTCCGTAAAGAAAACAAAAGTTATTTAAAAAATTCGAAAAAGACATATGTCATGAAGCAACACAAAACAAGCAACATTTGGTTGAGCATCATCTGCAGATTCTTATTAGATTTTGAGAAAAATAATAAAAACAATATCGGATAAAATAGTCATACGGGGCTCCTAGTGTACGAGTAGTGTACGAGTACAGGAGTACGAATTCGTACTCGCACGAGGGTGCATACAAGTGGCAACGCAATTCTATATTACAAACAACATTGATTGAAAACCGAAGGTAACTAACATTTACCTTAGTTAGATAATAAATCTCACTTTAGTACGTAAAAATCTAACCACAACTTAAACCATTTGTTGCTTTCCTACCTATTATGTTTTGCGCTAACATGGGTTCGACCTACTGACCAAAATGGCTCGCAGTGCTAAGCAAAACTGAAATTTTTTACATCTGCATTAGTTCGTTTTTTTGCATGCCGTACTAGGTTAACAGAGTGACACACAAACACTTGCCCAGTCGGGCAAAAAAAAAAAATCAAAGAGAAAATTATTTTTAATTTAATTAATTTTAGTTTATATTTGGTAAAAAAATTGGATGTGACCTTGCGGCAAAAATTGTTCAATTTATTTTTTTGCATTTTTTTTTTCCATAATTTTTCTAGTCTACTAGTCGGGTTGTTCGGGTCACCTTGTTTATCTGGGTTGCCCGACCATGCAATAACCACAAAATGTCCCAGCAAAAAAAAAAAAAAAAAAAAAAAAAAAAAAAACAATCACGTTGTGTAGAAAAATGGACTGGATAAGTTTTGCCTCAGGATTACATCGAAATTATTTACGAAATTTAAAACAAAAAATACTAGGCTACTAGAGTGACCCGGGTTCACTTACCCAATTGGGCCCCAAAAAAATTAAAAAAATAATGGGACGCTGGACCCGATTTCCAGCAGGTGATGCTCCCCACCAATAGATGGAGCCTCTCCTCCGGTGGTAGTGCTGTCTGCTCTTATCAGCAGCAATAACATTGAAAGGGGTGTTTTTTAAAAATAAATAAATAAATAAATAAATAAATAAATAAATAAACTAGGCTACCAGAGTGGCCCGAGGTCACTTGCTCGACCGGGCCAAAAAAATAAAAATAAAAAAATATTTTTAATTTTTAATTTTTATTTTAATTTTGGTGAAGAATTTTGATGTGACCCTGAGGCAAAAGGTGTTCAATTTATTTTTCTCCATAACATAGTTTTTTTTTCGGATGTTTTGGATTTTTTTTTATTTTTTTTTTTGCTGGGACATCCTTGCACGGGCTGGCCACCCGCGACCCGGGCGGCCCGGCTGGTAGCCTAGTAAATAAATAAATAAAATTTTGAATTAAAATTTTTATTTTAAATTTGGTAAAAAAAATTGTTTTGACCCTGCGGTAAAAGTTGTTCAATTTATTTTTCTGCATAATATAGTTTTTTCAGAGTTTTTTTTTTTTTTTTTTTTTTGGTCTAGGACCTTTTTTGGTCTTTGCATAGTCGGGCCACCCAGGAAAATAGAGTGACCCGGACAGCCCGGCTGGTAGCCTATTAAAAATACAATTATTATCTAGGCTACCAGAGTGGTCCGGGGTCACTTTCTCGGCCAGGCCAAAAAAATTAAAAAAAATAAAAATAAAAAAAAATAATTTTAAATTTTATTTTTTAATTTTAAATTTGGTGAAGAATTTTCATGTAAACCTCCGACAAAAGTTGTTCAGTTTATTTTTCTGCATAACATAGTTGTTTTTTGGAGTTTTTGGATTTTATTTTTTTTTTGCTGGGACCTTCCTTGATCCTTGCACGGGCTGGCATCCAGGATCCCAGCGGCCTGGATGGTAGCCTAGATGATGATTATTATTATTATTATTATTATTATCATTATTTTTCTAGGTTGGGCAAATGGTCATAGGCTACTCCAGTAATTAGGATTTTTTTAATTATTATTTTGTTTTTTTTGGGACTTTCTATGACCCTTGCACAGCGAGCACAGACAAACAAGGTGACCTGGGTGGCCCGACGAGTAGCCTAGATGCCATAGTAATAAGGATAAGGAAAAAAAACTGAGAGGGATAGATGGTTCAAACTTCAATTATTGCTCAAGGTTAATATGTTCAATATGTTTAAGGTTAATATGAACTACCATGTATTATAATTCTTCACAAATGGACGAGCAGCTCGTCATCCCCAAGAACGACCTGACCTCAGCCATAAACTGCGGTCTGGGCTAGTCACATACGTTGATTATCATCGTATCATCTGGCCTCAATCCATCCACGGCGATCTCATGACCCAAGTACAAGATCTTGGTGCAACCAAATTTACATTTTTCCAAGTTGATCTTGTATGGTGTTGGTGCTAGAGACTCAATACGATCTCAACGGGCTTAGCCGCCTTAGCATGGTCCTTGACAGTCCTACTAAAGAAGAGGGTATCGTCAAGGTACACGATGATAAACTTGTCGAAGTAGTCATGAAAGATCTTATTCATAGTGTGTTGGAATGTCCTAGGAGCATTGGAAAGACTGAAAGGCTTCACCACAAACTCATATAGACTGTACCTGGTCTGAAAGACGATTTTGTACCGATCCTCAGGTCAAATTGCAATTTGATGGTATCCTGACTTCAAAATTTATCTTTATGAAGTACCGGCATCCCTGCACTCGATCCAAAAGGTCATCTAACTTCGCAGGACACATCCTGTAAATCCGTCCTCTAGGCAGTTTGCTACTTGGAATGACTTCAATAGCATGGATAACCTCCCTCGTGAATATGCCGCTGAACTTCTAAAAAAGGTCAGGATATCTCGCAACGACTTCTTCTATCTCTAGGGGTGTTTTAACCGCCTCACCTTGTCTTGAGACAAAAACTAAGTACATAACCTCTTCCTAATTTTGCTTATATTAATTATAGAAAGTTGACGCATACATGTAACCATAGGTCTCGACTAGTATGCTAGGCTTGTATTTTTGCAGAGTAATGGTCCTCCCATTTGACAATTGGTGTAGCATCACCTTCCTATCTCAGTCAAACTGAGGCTTTGCTACTTCGAAGTAGTACATTCCTAGCAACATATCAAATGGAAGTTCATCGCTCACCAGGAATGAGATCTTGTGTGTTAGTCTCCCTCCTCCGTAAGAGAAGGTACAAACTACATCCTTGACATAGTCTGTGACAACCATGAAGTGTTTGTTGGCTCAGGTGGATGCCACAGATCTGCTAAGCCGTTGCACTTGGTCCCCTAAGCGCAACCTATCCACACAAGCACGACTGATGAAATTCCACGTAGAGTCAATGTCTGCAAATGATCCAACTTTATGGCCACCTATATCGACTTCTACCACAAAATGGTCACCCCTATGACCTCTATTCATCATCACCTAGGAATCATGTGGGTCATTCTCTAACTTAGGAGTCTAAGCACTCATTGTCTAACTCCTTTAAGGCCTCAGACACATCCATCGTACATAATATAGATTGGTCAGGATTTGTCTACGGGGCGATCATAGAGTCAATAACCTCGATCATTATTTGAAGTGGAGAGGGTGAGGCTGCTACTTCAGCCCGAATAGAAGCAACTAATACTTCTACTGGCCCGATATGTTTCCTAGGAAGTTTTCGTAGAAGCACCCACCGAGGTTGAAGGTCTCACAATCACAACTGTGGATATGATCTTCGTGTTGTCAAACTTACTCTTGCAGTGTGAAATTGCGTGCCCATATCAGCCACAATTTAGACACGCGCCACTAGTATAGCGGTCATGCCACACATAGTACTCTAGACCCATGTTGACCCATGCTAGTGGGCCTTGGTCTATCCCTTGACTCTTGCGTGAGCTGTCGGACAGGGTTTGTTTCTCGCCCCGTTAGCTTTCTCTTTTAAGGGAAGTACCACACCACCCTCTAAGGTATCTAAGCCCCCTTCCCCTCTTTGCCAACCCAAGGTCAGAGAAGTTTTTTTCCTTAGTCCCGTTGCCATCATGGGCAAGTTGGTCAACGAACATGAGGCTGCCTTTCTTTTTTCAATCCTGGGGCATCTTCCTCTTCCTGCCATCCCCAACCGCTTGCTGCGCATTCCCGAGCATGACCTTAATGTCTAAGGCCTTCTTGCTGAAAGATGGAATATTGTGTACCTCAATGAAGGCCTCATCAACCAACTTATTTTTGTCGTCTATGAGAAGACATCTCAGATACGTGGTCATGAGGACCTGCGGGCCGTACCGCATGCCTGAGACAACGATTAATCTCTCAACAACGTCAGTTACCTCGCATATGGATCCGTATCGTCCACGACGTCCAGATCCCAGGTTCACAAGCGGGTTGGTGGCCTTTTGCACCTCCTGGGGGTTATGCCACCTTTCTTGTAATAAGGCTATGAACTCCTCCAGACTCCGGGCTTGTGCCCCGCCATCGAAGTTCTGGCCGTATCTGTGCTGCACTGCTGCTGAACTAGCCCATCTAACTATCTTGTTGCTGACCCCCCCCACCCCTCTCTCTCAATAGGCGAGACTCACAATTCGCAACCATAAGGTTGCGGTGTGGTGGGTTCGAGCATCTGTGTTTGCAGCACAAAGGCTGCACTGAAAGGCTACACATTAGCCCCCACCCCGCCCTCTCTCTCTCTCTCTCTCTCTCTCTCTCTCTCTCTCTCTCTCTCTCTCTCTCTCTCTCTCTCTCTCTCTCTCTCTCTCTC